AGAAGAAGATATCGCGCAGAGGCAAGATGGAAAAGAGGGGTATTTTAGCCCTTAGCACGGGAATAAAATAAAACCTAACACACATGTAGGAATAATATTCCCAGGAATAAAACACTAAAATTTACTGTTGGTATTATAACATTACCCTCACTTGGGAACCATACCCCAACCAAACATGGGTATCCTTCATCAGGAAACAAATATGCCTGCTGGGAATGCTAAATTCCTTGATCCAAATGGGCTATAAGAGATTTCAAAGGCTGAATTCCCTTAATTGTTTGATGAAGTCACGACAGAGGCATTCACCAAATTGGGAATAAGTCCTTCAATCTATTTTTCTTCACTATCCTTTGTCGTCTTCTTCCTTTCTTCTTCTTTCTTTGGTTGTGAGAAATCTAAAGGTGGAAACTTGTTCAAGAGCTACATATTGAGCTCACAACCTTGAGGTTTAGCCATGGTGGCCAAGGTTGGGTTTTAGGAGGGTTTTGAGTTTTAGAGCTTAGGGATAACTATAGAACGTTTCCAAACCTTAAAAACTTTACTTCTAACGTTTCCAAGCCTTTGAGAGAGTTAATAACTCTCTTGCTTTGTTTGTTCTAGTGAGAGAAGTTGGTCAAAGCTCGAAGAGTCAAAGCAAAGGAAAAGAGACTCTTAGGTGAACTTGGGATTGTTTTTACAACTCTTAATAGCAAGGTAACACATTTCTAACCTTCCTTTACTATTTGTAATTCAAAATGTGAAGTTTTGATGCATGTTATGTGTAAGAACCTTTGTGTGCACTTGGGTGGGGATTCAAAGCATGAAAATGGGTTCTGTTGTGTTCTTGTGTAGAGTAGTAGCCCTTTATTGCCCCTTGTGGATTTAATAATCATTAAACATCAATTGAGGACCCCTCTAGGGGTTTTGGGATAGAAATTTAGGCTTTTTCGTGACAAAACAATGTGTTCTACAGGTTCGGTCTCGATACTGGAAGAATAGTATCGAGAATGTTCTTCAATTTATGGGTTTTGTGGGCAACGGTCTCAATACTCGTTCATGGGTATCGATACCAAGGCCACAGTCTTGAGACCCGACAAGCTTGGTATAAAGACCCAAATTCCAGTAGCCATTTTTTATTTCGAGACTCGCATAAGGTATCGAGATCAGGATATGGGTATCGATACTGAAGGATCAGTATAGATACTAATGGGTAGAATTGGAACAAGTAGGATAAAAATTATGGAAATTAACTCAAGTGACCCGAGAGGAGTTAAGAGTTATTTGTTAATAAGATTACGATAGAAAACTATAATCAATGTGTGATAACATAAGATCTTAATGAGGTAAGATTCCATAAGACTTATGCCCTTGTTTGATGCTCGGGAAATGATGAGGACACCCGAGTTACTTAATGATGATAGTTGATTGTGTAAGGATTATCGGGATAATTCCAAATAAGTGCTTAGGCACTCTAATTGCTAGTTGGATGTTGTACCGATGCTATGTGACCCGGACACGTCCCGAGTACTCTAGAGAAGTAGATTAGCCGAGTAAGTCCCTACTCTTTGTGACCTGGACTTAACCCGATTTTAATGAGACATTGATGCTATGAGACCCAAGTCTTCCTTAAGTGTGGTAGTAAGTAAAGACGGGTGTGAGTTTTGCGAGACTAAGTAACCCTGAACTACACCATGATAGCTTAAGTGTTTACAATCATTCATGACCATATTGTATCATGGTTATGTATTGGATGCATGTAGTATAGTAGGATTATTTATGTGGCACTGAGCTTGTGAGCTCAACGTGTGGAATGTGTTTTCGTGCGCATGTCCTTAGTGCCAGTTTGAGGAGCACGTCATAGAACCTTATGTGTATTTGAGTAGTAACTCTATATTTTGTTTATATTCGTATTGGGAGACTTATGTCGGGGAGCTCCCCGTATTTAAACTACTATTATTTTGTTTGCATATGGTATTTGGATGATTTATTATTTTTCTTTGATCTAATGTTTTCAAAAAAAAAAGGTTGGTCACTTAGGTGGCTCTGTGTGACATCATAGTCCATCGGCTTTCGGGTTGGATCGGATTTCTATATTTTGTTTATATCGTATTGGGAGACTTATGTCGGGGAGCTCCCGTATTTAAACTACTATTATTTTGTTGCATATGGTATTTGGATGATTTATTATTTTTCTTTGATCTAATGTTTTAAAAAAAAAGTTGGTCACTTAGGTGGCTCTGTGTGACATCATAGTCCATCGGCTTTCGGGTTGGATCGGATTAGGGTGTTACATTACCAAAAAATAAAGTTGTATTAATGAAGTGTTAAATTTATTTCGGTCATTTCAAGTGTCTAATATTACAAACATTACCATTTAAATGTCTCAATTGTAATTGCCGTTAAAATTATGTTAAGTGACATGTGTCGTATTATTGTAATTTTAAATTTTTTATTTAAATATAAATTTAAAAATATTTTTATATTTAAAAAACTCTAATTTTTCTAAAATTATATAAGAAGAAACTTAAATCCCTAAACTAAACCTTAAGATCTCTAACTCTAGCCTTATTTTATCCCTTCCATGCCATGGTCGTTAGCGCCCTTGGCATATACGTTGTTTGTCGTCGTCTCCCTTACTATCGAGGTGATCGTTGGATTCGTCAAATCACATTAGTGTCACGATTTGTAGCTTTGTTTTTTGTCGGGTTTAACGTTCACAGGTAGTGTTCTGGTGGCAGTTTGTCAGGTGGACTATTCATTGGGTGAACTTGCGGTCAAGTAGATGCTTGTTGGGTTTAACGTTCACTTGTTTCTTCTCCTGTTTACTTCGATAAAAAATAAATATAAAAAATAGTCGATGATATTAACAACAATACCTAAGATATGTTATTTAAAAATGGAAGATGGCTCAGGCGTAGCCTAATCATGCACATAATTCACATGAATGCATGAAAGTTGAATACAAAACATAATGTCTTGTTTGATGAAGTGAAAAATGTTCAAACGACACAGTCTAAGGTTCTAGTAACGGTGACCGACGACAGTGATGAATGACGACCAGGGTCCTTACTTCGTTCCAACACACTCGCTTGTACCTTCTACATGTTCACCACCCATTTCGATAAGGTGTCAACATAAATTTTCCAAACCTCCTTGTCGTTGAGTGAGGCCAAGTTGTCATTGTTGCCGATGAGATTGGAGGTTGTGGACTAAGTGAGAATGCATGCAAATTATTATGGTGGCGTGCGCAGGTTGTTAGCGTGAGGTGTTGGGTGGTTGAGTCAGTCAAATTAATATTGTATTACGTTACATGATTGGACTGCATGGGAACGTAGCTATATAATAGATATTGTTGCTTAACGTTTGTAACTCTTCAAGAATTAATAAAAGAATATAAAAGCTGAAAAGTTCTTGAAAAACTAACATGGTATCAAAGCACATCTTAATGTCTCTTAGTGCCTTTATGAGTATCTCTTAATGCTACAATGTGATAACCCCAATTTATTGAGATATAGAGTTTTGTGGTGGATCTAATCATACTTTTTCCGTGCTTTATATTTGTTTTTTGTTTGATCCGAATATTGAAGTTTTGTGTGAACTATGAAGAGGATTATGATGGCATTATTTTCTTGGGCATACAATGGTATTTCTTCGATTATGAAATTCTGATAACTTTGGAGATTGTACAAAAATGATACTGTTTATTTGTAGTTTTATTGTTTTCTTTTGAAACTTATTCTACGGATGCGAGGTGTCTGTATGTTTTTATGCTCGTGAACTGTGAATTTAGGCGTATTATTCTTATACCTCTTAGTGCCTTTATGAGTGTCTCTTAATGTTGCAGTATGATAGGCCCGGTCTATGGAGATATAAAGTTTTATGGTGGATTTGATCATACTTTTTATATGATTTATATGTTTTTGTTTGATCTGAATATTGATGTTTGGTGTGAAGAGGATGAAGGGTGGGCAGAACTAGACTCAGAAAAAAAATTTGAGTTATTTGAGTTAACTCGAATTATCGTCAGTTTTTGAGTTCAAGTTGAGTTGTTGAGTCACTTGAAAGATTGAAAATTTGGTTAAGTATTTTGATAGTTTTACGATTTAGTCCTTGATATCCTTATTCATTTAATTCCTCATTCATTTTAAGTCATTTTTACTAAATTTGAACCACGTACTCCTAAACCGTGTAGAATACCTATGTCATCCAAATTCCTATTTTTATTAAAAAGTTTTCTATTTTTCAATTCAGTCCCTCAACTTTTCACGGTTTCCTTATTTCTTTAATTCATCCTCGATTTTAAGTTCATTTTTTACTAAATTTGAACCACATACTCTTATACCAGTATAGAATACCTATGTAACTTCAACTCATGTTCTTTTTACTAAAATAAAGGATGAGAAAAGAAAATTATAGAGTAATTAAACATAAAGTAACAAATAAAAGGGTTTACTTTGTTTAAATATACTTTAAAAATATTATGTTATTTCCTATTTTTTGAGAAAAAATAAGTCTTTCTATTCCTCCTAACTTTAATTAAATTAGGTTTCTTTTATCACACTACATATAAAGGACTATGTTAGGAGAGAGTCAAAACCTCTTGTGAAGCAAATATTTTATACTACATCATGTTTCCTATGCAAGAAGAATTATGGGCTAATCTTTCCGGAGAGAAGAATTATGGGCTAATCTTTCCGGAGATCTTGTGAGATGTATTGTAGATAAGACACAATCAGTTCGTGATCGTATTCGTATGTTCGCAGTCTGTCGGTATTGGCAAGATTTCTCATGGATCGAAAACTCAATTTTCCTGCTTGTTTACTCTTAGCAGAGATAAAGGACAGTGACAAACGTTGTCTTTATAATGTATCAGGAGAATTCTTTGTATAGTTGGATTTACCGGAGAGATACGAGGAAGAAGATTTTGGGGGAGTTCTTTTGGTTGGTACCCTTAATTTTCTGGTCAATGCTCTACAAACAACAATCTTACTGTTTAATTGATTAACCAAATCTTCGAGGTAATGGAGAGGAAGGAAGGCGAAACATCAAATTTGTTTGTTCAGAATATTCCACCGAGATACCATTGGAGAGGATTGAGGCAATTCTTTGGTAGGCATGGAGATGTGATGAGCTCGTTCATAGTGATGAAGTATGATAGAGCAGGGAATCGTTTTGGTTTTGTCAGTTTCTCCAACAGAAACGATGCAGATAGAGAAGCTTTTAGGTTAAATGGTTTATGGATTCTCGGATACCGGTTAACAGTCAAAGAAGCTAGGTACAGAGATAAGAGCCAAAGTAGGAAATTGTATACGCCATCAGATTCCAAAGTTGTATCATCGGTAGGACAAGAAAAGAATAGTATTTCTGGAGCTAGCACGGAGGAGCAAGCAATGAGAAGCAGTAAAATTATTCAGGGGGAAGTAGATGAGAACGTTGTACGAAAGCTTCAAAAATGCTTGGTAGGGACGTTGGTGACGGTTTGTTCTTCGAGTCAAGTGGAAGATATATTATAGGCTGGAGGCCTAGGAGAAATAAGAACTAAATTTCTGGGAGGGAGAGACTTCTTAATAGAGATCGAGGACAATGAGTTACACAGGATCCTGAAGGAGAATAGCTGGTTGTATCTTAAGGAAGTCTTCTTGGATGCACAAGCTTGGACAGAATCGTATAGATCGTCTCAAAAAGAGTAACGTGGATCAAATTATTTGGAGTGTGCCTGCATTGTTGGAACCATGTTACGTTTAAGAGGATAGCAGAACAATGAGGTGAATTCTTAGCGATGGAAGAAAATGCTTTGCAAGAGATGGGATGAGACGAGGTGACAGATCTTATTGCAACAGATAGGAAAGAGTCCATTGATTATGTGCTCGATTTGGAAGTGGGTCGAGATTTATTTAAAGTTAGAATTCTAGAACAGATTATTGGCAACAATGTAACAATAGTTTGAAAGAGAGATAAAAAAGAGTTTGAGATGGCCAGTGACTCTCTATCTTCGGCCGAAAAAAGTTGGTCTTCATCGGAGGAATATACTATAGAAAGGTGGCTTGAGGAAGACGAATTCCAATTACAATGTATGGGAAATATATCAGGAGGCGATTGCTTATCGGGTGAGGATGTGGGGGAAAGGAATATTGGAGAAGAAGCAATTATGGGGCTAAGAACAAATGATGATGGCAGTGGGAATATGCAGAAGAGAAGTAATGATGAGGTGAAAAACGTGGAGGGAGTCAAAGTTACTGCCAGAAAGTATTTAAATGATCAAATACGTGTCAATTTGGAAGAAGATGATAATTATAGAAATTTATCTATTTGGGATGAAACATCTGATACTAGGGTAGTGGAGGATACTATGTGTATGAGCCTTAAAATTATAATTGTTAAAAATATTAACAAGATGGAGGAAGATCAAGTGGATGGGTTGCTAGCAGATCAAATTAGAGGAAAGTCCAAAATAGGGAACGAAGGGGATGATCTGGACCAGATGTTAAATGACCCAATGTATTTGAGTGAGGATTTTAAATCGAATAAAAACAGACAGAATCCAAGAGCAAAGGTCGGGAAAAATAAAAGATATGTTTCTTTACAATGCATTCAAGACGGTTTACTAACATTATAAAGAATAGCAGAAATAGCCGTGCAAAGAAAAATAAGAAGAAGATATAGAGTGCGAGGAAGACTAGACTGAACTAGAAGGAAGGTCTCTATCAGATTCCAATCTTCAAGCTAGATGGCAGAGATTAAAGAGGGAAGCAAAGAAAACACTGCAAATTGGAAGAGAGTTGGGAATAGAGTTTGAAGGTCTAAAAGAGATTTTAGTTTGGGAAATTGTAGCAGCAGAGGAATCAAAAGGCGTATCCCAATCTCAATCTATCGACTTTTAATTGAAATTGGAGGGGAAGTTTTGGGATGAAGATTTTATCCTGGAATATAAGGGGTATGGGTTATGCTGTTAAATTTTCTGAACTTAGGAGGATAATTAGGGTTCATAAGATTAAATTTATATTGATTTAAGAAACAAAGAAAGAGGAGTTTAATGAAGTTGAAATAGGGAGCATTTGGAGTGATGATGATTTTGATTTTAGGTTTTCAAAAACAGTGGGAAAATCTGGGGGTTTACTGTTGGTTTGGGATAAAAATAGATTCAAGGTGGAAGGCATCATTACTAATGATAGACTCATACTGATAAGTGGGAAGTGTACATTTGATGATTTGGTTGTTTCAATAGTTAATGTTTATACTCCTTGTGAAGTTAGAGACCAATACACCTTATGGAATGAGATAGTGATGGAAAAGAAAAGAAATAATAAATGGTTCATGGCTGGAGATTTTAATACTATTAGAAATCGAAGTGAGAGAAGTGGATGTCATTTTAGTAAGGTCGAGATCGAAACTTTCAATCAGTTCATAGATAATTGCAATATGTTGGATATGCCACTAGCATGGAGGAAATTTACTTGGTTTAGACCGAGAAACATGAGAAGTCAGATAGATAGAGTCTTTTGTGGAGGATGACTGGTTAGATGAAAACAGTGAAGCAACGCTGTGGGGTTAACTGATAACCGTCTCGACCATATACCTATTTTATTGGGCAAGGAGTTGATAGATTAGGGGCCAAGACCTTTCAAGCTGATTAATAGTTTGATTGATCAGAAGAGTTGTATTGAGGTCATTAAGGATACATTAGAGCTTGATCTTTCACATAATAAAGATTTGAGTGCAAAGCTTAGAAGGGTGAAGGGTGCTCTGTAATAATGGAATAAAGACAGTTATTGGAATGTTGATAATGTAGTTAAAGGAATGGAGCATAGGATAAATAAATTAGATAGAAAATGAGATATATATGGATTGGATGATCGAGAGAGGAAGGAGGTAGTAGAGTGCACAAGAAGGCTGTGGGATATGCTGAGAGAAAAAGAGGAGATATGGAGACAAAAATCTAGGATGAAGTGGCTGAAACTTGGGGATGAAAACTCTGCATTCTTTCACAAAGCTGTAAAGTTAAGAAGTAAAAAGAGATTTATTTCAGGTGTAAATCTAGGGGAGACAAACGAAATTGACCCTTCAAAATTGAGGGAAAAAGTTTTTAATTTTTTTAGCAGTCATTTTAAAAGCAAAAAGAAACAGTGGAATACGGTGATTAACCTCTCTTTCAAGCAAGTGTCAATGGCAGATGTTAAAGAGTTGGAAGCTCTAATCTCAATTGAAGAAATTAAAGAAGTTGTGTGGAGCTGTGATGAGTTCAAAGCACGGTCCTGATGGATTTAATATGCTATTTTTTATTTAAAAAAATCATGGAATGGGTAAAAGGTGATCTAATTAAGACAATTTAGCGTTTTTTCAGATTTGGGAAAGAATGTTAATACTTCTTTTTTTAGCGTTGATTCCGAAAGTGATAGTCCTTGCGAAATTTCAGAATATAGGCTTATTTCTTTGGTAAGCAGTTTATATAAAATAATAGCGAAAGTACTGGCTAGAAGACTAAAACGAGTGATAGGGAAAGTAATTAGCGAGACTCAATGTGCGTTTTTATCGAGAAGGTATATTTTTTATGGTATTTTGGTGGTAAACAAGATCATTCACTATTTGTGTAAGGAGGCAGCTGGGAGAGGAGGATTGATTTTAAAATTGGATTTCGCAAAGGCCTATGACTATGTTTGTTGGGAGTTCCTAGATTTGGTTTAGCATCAAATGGGGTTTAGAAGCAAGTGGAGAGGGTGGATATGGAAATATATTTCAACAGTAAGAGCCTCCGTTTTGCTAAATGGTTCTCCTACAAAAGAGTTCAAAATGCATAGGGGATTAAGGCAGTGAGATCTATTATCTCCCTTCATATTTTTGATGGTCATAAAGGTTCTTCATCTACTGTTGGAATATGTAGTGAGTAAAGGTTACATAGAAGGCATTCATAATGTAGCTCCAAATGTAATTATCTTGCACCTGCAATTTGCGAACGATACAATTTTATTTCTCCGACCATATCGAGGAAGTCTCAGAAATGTAAAGAGAATCTTAAGATGTTTTGAGTTGGGTTCAGGGGCTAATAATAAATTTTAGACAGTCATGTCTAGTAGGGGTGGGCTTGAAGAGGATTTAGTCTGTCCATTAGCAGTTTTGTGTGGATGTACTACGAGCAAGTTACCATTTAAATATTTGGGCATTCCTTTGGGAGTTGATCCGAGAATAGTTTCAGTGTGGGATCTGATAATTGATAAATGTAGAACAAAATTGTCGAGTTGAAAAGGCAAATTTTTATCCTTTGCTGGGAGAGTAGTACTAATTAATTCTATTTTATCTATGCTGCCATTGTATTATATGTCGTTATTTCATGTCCCAAAAGTAGTATTATTGAAGATTGATAAAATTAGAAGAGGTTTTCTTTGGGGCTCAGATAGAACGAATAATAAGATGTCAAGAGTAAACTGGGGAAGGATGTGTAAACCGAAAAAGAAAGGAGGGGCAGGAATAATTGATCTGAGGGCAAAAAATAAGGCCTTATTAGCAAAATGGGGGTGGAGGTTTGCAAATGAAAGAGATGCTTTGAGGAGATCAGTTATAAGTTATAAATATGGATCGGATGGGCTGCCTTGGATGGTGAGTAAAGATAAAATCAAGGATGCTTCCATTACATGGATGGAGATTATTAACAATTTAAAGAGTGCAGAGATATCAATATGGATGAGTGGTGATTCCTTTAGATGGCAAGTGGGAGATGGGAAAACAACATGGTTCTGGGAGGACATTTGGTTAGGTGAGAAATCATTGATGAATAGGTTCCCTCGAATTTATAGGCTAGTGTCAAGAAAATTTCGGACGGTTTTTGAGGTGCTAAGCGAAGGGGAGTGGCAAGATACATAAGTTATATTCGACATGCAGCTATTGGATAGGGAAAGAAGCATAGTCAATGAAATTAAAGGAGAAGTAGACATAGCTAAAATCAAACCCGGTGTGGCTGACCGTATTATTTGGATTCATGAGAAAGATGGGTTTAATCAGGATCATCCTCATTTTTGTATTTTATATACTCCTAGAGAGTGTAATCAAGTTGCTCATGTATTAGCCAACTAGCTTTAAATTCGGGTGGTTCTTTGTTTTTTGAGTCGGTTTGTCCTGACATCATTGTTCAGAATGTTAAAAACGATGTCATTGATCTTTGATTAATATAGGTTGGGCACTCTTTTCCCCTTACTAGGTTTAGAAGGGGTTTTTAATGAGGTATATGAGTTTCATTCAAAAAATGAGAAGGATGGGAAGTTTTTCGGTTAAAAAATTGACAGAATTACTGCTTAGTAATGATAACATCGTAGAAGCCAACCAACCCAAATTTGATAAAATCTGGAGTCTTAAGGTTCCCCCGAAGGTGAAATACTTTCTATAGATGCTAAAACAGAATATGGTGCCATCAAAAGCGTTCCTTAAAAGCAGAGGAATTACATTAGTCGGGAATCAATGTTTATGCCCATGGTGTGGCGTTGCAAAAGAAGATTCAGATCATTTGTTTGTCTCTTGTATCTATATGGCATATTTCTGGAATTCTTTTTGCATATGATGGCAAACTAGAGGATGTAACGCGTTAACTATAGATGAGTTGTTTGAATTTTGGTTCCAGGTTCAATGGTCTGATTCAAGAATATTAGCATGGCATGTTAGCTTTACAGCAGCGTTGTGGAGTCTTTGGTTGGTCAGAAATGAATTTGTTTTCAGGGATAAAAGAGCAAAACTTAAAGATGTTATATGTCTAGTTAAAATAAGAGCTTTGGTGTAAGGCACTCAAGGAGTTTAATGATCTTGATGAGAAACGTTGGTGGGTTAGTCTGGGATCTAGTGTTGAAACTTGTGAAGAACAGACAAAAGTTAATCTGGCATCCTCCGGGATTGGGACAAATAAAGTTTAATATGGACGGGTCTGCTACAAAAGAGGCAGCGGGTTGTGGTGGAGTGTTAAGAAATTCTGAGGGCACGTGGTAGCAATGTTTTTCGGGCTTGTCTCCGAGGTTAATGTTGAATTTGCAGAGCTGTTAGCAATTAAATTTTCCTTAGAATTATTTTTGCGATTCTAATTGGTTGGGGGAGGCTAAGTTAATCATAGAATCTGATTCTTCAGTAGTTTTAAATTGGATACAATCTTATTCCAATCGACCTTGGAGGTGGGGAGCAACTTTTGAAGAAATTGATGGGATGGTGATGAAAATAAGGGGTGTTAGGTTTGAGTTCACGCCAAGATTAAGCAACAACATGGCCGATCACCTTGCTAAAATCAGTTCAAAAGGAAATGTTATGTTTAAAGCAAATTGGTAAGATAGCAGGTTGAATTCCATTGTAAGTCTGTGGTATGGTCTTTTTTGTGTTTGAATGTATAGCATGTGATGTTATTTCACAATATGCAGGCCGACCCCAATATTTGTGCCACCTGGGCCTTAGCTCAGGGCAACAATATTTTGAGGGGCATCAATTTTGCACATATATTTGGTCATATTCTTGGCTCCACAAAGGAGCCTTGTCTTGCAGCACTGAACTTTGTAAAGGATTACCCATCTCTAGGTTTCCTTCTCTCTTTCTAGCTTTATTTTTTAAAAAAAAAATACATAATCGTTGGGTTTTCGTTGGAGTTTTTGGACAAAATGAGTTAATGGGTATTCTTTCGATGATATTACTAGTCTGAAAAAAAAAGTTGCATTCTTTTTCTTTGGGTGAAAAGTATTGAGAATACACCAATCTGGAATATTTGGGTGATGGGTTTTTCTTTTTGAATATTCAAAAGCAAGCCTCTTTTGTTTTCTTTATTTACATCAATGACTTTTGATTTCTATTTGCATTTCTTTATTCAGGGAAGTTAAGGTAAAATAGAAATAGGTTTTCTGCAATGCAGTTTTAGTTGTAGAAAAAACGTAAAACTTAGGCTTAAAATGTATTAAGTTCCCATTTCATCTCGAATCAAAGCTTTATGAATTTGGTTCACTTTGTTTAACAAATCTAGTGCTTATAGTTTGATTGTTTGAATTTTGATTGTGTAGTGGCAAACTTAGTTTGATGTAAAAAAACAGTGGCTAAATATTTTCGTTCAAGACATTTTTTAGAGTGATTCCTTCTTATTATTTTGATTTCATCATTAATTTTCCAGATCAGTTGATTGTGAGAAAGAACAAGTCAACAACATAAACTTCGGTCATCGGTCAGGTTGTATCTTTCCTTGCTAATATATATGTTTTATTATTTACTTGCTACTATATTTGTTTTATTGATTACTTTTAAATATGTTACCTCAAAAACAACCATCGGGTGCCCGAAATAGAAAACGAAAAAAACAAAAACAAGAAATACGGTACAAGTATAGGGGCATAAAATTATTATCTCGCCCAGAGCATTAAAATTCATTGGACCGGCCCTGACAATATGGCTAGTTATGTTGGGGTTAGTCAGGGTGTTCCTATTTTTGCTGAGCAAAAAAAAATGTGACCTCGATCTCGAAACTCAACTGTTTAATCCTTTGTCGAGTCAGTCTTCCCCTTCCTTCACTACGTACCTTCTCCGACTTTGAAAGAGAGGAATGGATAAATCGCACACCTGAAGATTTGTGTAAGTTTTTTTTTTTACAAAGAGTGATATTATCTTCTATTCCTGAAGAGGCATGCTCTAATTGCATCGTTCTAGCAATTTATTCGAATGGGTTTTATATAAGCAAATTTGACATCTCGGTTTTATATATTTTTCTATTTTTTTTATCTATCTACCTATTTATATATAACTAAACTCATAAATTAATTTTAGTAGTTAATAGAAATTGTTCTCTTAAGAAGTCTTGGGTTCGAGTAGCTTCGCCTGTATGTGTGTGCATTCATTGTTAATTGATCGAATGGATTTTTAACAAATACTATTATTATAACCAGTATATATATATATATATAACTTTATGAGACGAATTGCTTCATAGACTTAAACTAAACTCCAAAATTTAAACCATAAATCATGAACCCTAAACTAAATTGAGCTCCATAGACATTGTTGCGCAACAACGAAATGGGAAAGCTAATAGGGTTGTTGAAGAGGAGAATGGATCGGTCTAGGTTAGTATTAGGATTACTAATGTTTTGTTGCAGTTTCTACCACAACCCGATCCTAGTGGTGAAGCTGTTATAGAAGCGTGAGTTTTAACAAAGTAATATTCCTTTATTTCAATGATTTTTAACTGGCAACGAGTATGGAAGCATGATTGTTCAATGTATATATGTAAGTATATAAATGGAACAATCACGTTATGTAGGAAGATTGGAGAATGGGAAAGTGTTCGATAACACTACTAATCATCTCTCCTTGTGCTATACCTATTGGTTAGCTTCAATGTTATCTTCAAAAGGGAACATGTATATAAGCATTCATATCTAAGATAATATAACCTTAAAACAGTTTCACATATCATCAGGTTTCATATCCCATCTTTTTTTGTTCTTAGTGAAACTCCTAAGAAAACTTTCCATTTCTTCTGCTATCGGTCCTGGTCTCAACTCCACGAGATCTTCCTCGTCGTCACTGCAAATCCAGCCATGGTAAGGCCTGCGCTTCACCGTCAAGTTTCCAATTTGTAGTGGTGGTGGTGGAGTGAAGTGGCCGCTGCTACTAGGGTACTGAACATCGCTTTTAGTGGAGCATTCCGCTTCAACCGGTGAGAGATGCTTGCCTTCTTCAGAAAACAAGGGTGTAATCACAGTGAATAACTAAAATGGATTGAAGGTTGCTAGCTGATTAGATTCACTCAAAACATTGACCCGAACCCGTAAATTTTGATGAGAATAAACGGAAAGGGAAAGCCAGTTACCGGATTTATCCCTCGGTTTTAATGTGCACATAGCCTCATTAGCATTTGATGCACAGTCCAAGCCATGGCCGGTGTGGGACTCTGTGCCATCTGTATTCACATCAGATGATGCGGGTTCAAGGGCAGTCCCGGTACTAGAGATCTCAGCAGCAGCTGGTTTCTTGGAATCACTCTTTCAAACAAAGATCCAAACTAATCAATGACATCAACAACAATGCTCAAGATATGTTCATAAAAAAGGAAGATGACTCAGGCATAGCCTAACAAGCACATAATTTGCATGAAAATAACACAAGCAGCGCTAGAGATAAATGCATGAAAGTTGAACACAAAACACAAAGTCCTGTTTGATGAAATGGAACATGTTCAAACTTCAAACAACATAGTCAATGGAACAACAAAAACCTCACCATACCAGCAATGGAATGAGAAAAGATCATATCAGCACAGAGATTAGTTAAACAAATCTATTTTCTCCTATAAAAATGCAATTTTTATAAGCAAAAGCAGAAGAAAGGTTCCACCTTTACAACCTTTTCAAGTATGGCTTCAAGCAAAACCTTGTAAGAAGAATCTTCAATGAAGGGCCATCCATCTTCCCCATAAACCTGAAAACAAAACAAACCCACACTTTCGTTAAATTTCTTCTTCTCTAAACCCCCTCCAAAACAGAATTCACAACATCAAAAACCCCACATTTAGCAGTTCCTTTATGGTTTCTTTAACCACTTTTACAGGGAATCCATATGGTTTCATAGCATCAATGGCAGCATCCTTTCTTGTATTACCCCTCTGCAACAAACAAACAAACAAAAAAGAAGCTTTTTTCAATGAAAAATGAATAAACGACTGATGGGAAACAAGCATGAGAGAAATCAAAGGGAAAACATGGAGAAAAATTACCTTTTTAAGACGTCCTTTTGGAGCCATTGTTCTCTCTGCCACTCTCTCAACACTGCTTCGTCTTAAAGAAGAAAACAACAGATCACAGCAATAAAAATGGATTTTTTAAAACTTTTTTACTTACATATTCAGATTCGAGGAATGAAAATCTGCGAAGAAGAAGAAAAAGTTGGAAATTGACACTGAGCGAGAGGAGCTCGAAGCGGAGGGTTGAGTAAACAGTAACACTCATGTTTCTCTTCACGACTGAGATAGTGAGGCGTCTCCTGCACTGCATTGTCCTTTTTCTTTCTACTTTTGGGTAAATTACACGACATACCAACTAATTTTAGGTCATATCTCATTTATAGTATATCATTTATTGAATTTTTAATTTATTCAATTATAGTATTATATTTTAGTTTTAATTTTAATTATGTTGTTTAGTAGTTTAATTTAATCATAAGATGATCTTGACAGATCTTTTTGTCACAATGATAACATTAACAAATGATTTTTTATTACGATTTTAATTGTTTAAAAATGTCGTTTTGGACATTAAATTTTAAGAGATTATCAATTTTATCACTAACCTTTTAAATAATTTTATTTTTGACACTATATTTTTTTATCGTCTTCATAGTTAATTATCGTTCATCATCGATCATCTTTCGCAACAATATCAAAATGATCGCATTTCATTCTTCTTTCTTCTATTAATATTAATTTTTCAAGAAATCAACTTAAAATCATTGAAAAATCATTTAAAAGTTTGATGTGCTAATACTTTGATCTATTTTGATAATCGTATGAGGCTAGTTTTGAGGTATATTGTTCATCTTTTCAAAATAATACTTCTCATCATTGGAATTTTCGAACAATCGCCATAAATTCTTCAAAATTAATAAAACCCTCCAACCCTTAAAAAATGATAGATAGATTCTTTTATTTAATTTTATAGATTTTGAGTATATTTAAAATACATTTATATATTTTAATTAATTAATTAATAATACTTTATTCGGTAAGTAAGACTTGTGTGGTTAATCATTGTATTTTTTATTATCAACACAAGTTGGGATTATTTAAATAAAATATTATGAAAAATACATTCTTTTAAAAATGTTTTTAAAATATATAATTAATTAAATACATTTTCATCCATACATTTAAATAATAAAATAATATTATTTAATTAAATAACTAGTTTTTACTTTTGAGGGTTAATTCTATAAATGATCCTAAAAAGTATATTTGGGTAAAAAAAAAAGAGAAAATCGCCTCAGTGACCAAAAATGCCTTATAATATACGATTTTAACCAACTTTTTTTGGATTTGCCAAAATGACCAACAAAATCGCAACGCGAAATAAAAATCGCAACGCGAAATAAAAATCGCAACGCGATCCCCAGAATCGCAAATCAGTTTCCAAAATCGCAACGCGATTCTTGACAATCGCAATGCGATAGTACAAATTCGCATTGCGATTTTCCAGAATCGCAACGCGAACACATAAATCGCAACGCGTATCCGTAAATCGCAACGTGTATCCGTAAATCGCAACGCGTATCCGTAAATCGCAATGCGTATCCGTATATCGCAACGCGTATCCGTAAATCGCAACGCGATTTTTAAAGCGCCATTATAATCGCTACGCGTATTTTATTTTCAAATTACAAAGACGAATATTAAGACAAAATCCCGTAATCGCAACTCATAACCTAAAACCTAAAATCACAACTCAGTCCCATCTCCATCTCTCACTCTCTACGGCGAAATCCGTCCCCATCTCCGAAGATTTCCGTCCCCATCTCCGGCGAAATCCCTCACAACCATTCACGGTCAGAAATCCCTCACAATATTCAGAAATGGAAAATCAACCTCCGAGGGTTAGTTTTTTAATTATTTTTATTTTGAAATTTTTGCATTATTGTAGGTTTTTCATATTGAAACTGATGATAAGTTTACTGGTCATTTCAATAATAGATTAACCATTTCACTTAGATTTCATTTCGCGTTACGATTTCTCGTTGCGATTTTCATTTCGCGTTGCTATTCTCTCGTTGCGATTTTCAAGTTAGTATTTGTCTTTGTCTTTGTTCTGTCTTTTGGTTGAAGTAATGCAATCCATTCAAGTTTCAATTTGCAGAAGAGTCGCAACGAGATAAATGAAAATCGCAACGTGAAAATGACTATCTGCAACGAGAAAAATGAAAATCGCAACGAGAAAATCGCAACGAGAGAATCGCAACGCGAAACCAAAATCGCATTGCGATTTTCATTTCGCGTTGCGATTCTCTCGTTGCGATTTTCATTTCGCGTTGCGATTCTCTCGTTGCGATTTTCATTTCTCGTTGCGACAGTCATTCTCTCGTTGCGATTTTCATTTCAACCAAAAGACAAAACAGTGTTGCAAATTTTAGTTTCAAGAATAAACTACTACTTTTTATGTTTATTGTTTTTTGTATATCTTCAGTGTAGTTTTTGGTATATCTAACTTGGTATGTTTATTGTTTTTGTAGAAATTTTTTTCGGCTTCATTGACATTAAGGAATAAAGTTAGCCTAGCCACTACAATTGCTTCGAAGCTTTCACCTGCACAAAGACAATTGTTTGAGGAAACCTGCTTCGGGCCATGGCTGAGAGTACAGCATCCGGGTGGAGATGCTAATTTGACCATTTGTGGCTTCAGACCATGACATCAAATCTACCCGACAGTATACAACGTGGTGAGGAAGAGATATGGTTCATTTTCCACCAGCGTATACTTGTTTTGGGCGGAAGGAGTTCTGCTTAATCACTGGTCTACGATTCGGACACGATGATTAGGCCGGTACACTCGTCATATCGCCCGCCCATCATGGTTATCCCAGGTTTTTCCGGATGAGTCAATGGAGAAGCCGAACCTACACGTCGACGACCTGAAAAAATTGTTTAATAAGAAATCTGGTTTCACTCGGATGGATGACGTCGATGTTGTCCGAGTATGCCTTCTACTACTTGTATGCCAGCTTTTTAGGTAGAGAGGCCAGACAACCTATTCCTCGGGAGCTAATAATATTGGTAGAGGACCTGAATGCATGGAATCTGTTTCCATGGGGTTCGTATATATGGAAAGCTACCTGGACTAAGTTGTCTATGCCTTTGATGACTGCAAAAGTTTGCGTGGCGATGGGTCGAAATACACTTTGTCAGGCTTTGTTTGGGCCTTTAAGGTAAGAATTTCTATAATATTTCTAAAATTATAATTAATTATTTAACAATTACTAATTTTGTTATTATATTTTTGTAGATTTGGATATTCGAGGCTTTCCCCAGCATGCGTACATATGCAATAAAAATGTCAAATGATATTCCCAGGGCTATTTCCTGGAAGAGGAAAAATCTGTTGGATTGGGAAGACTTAATACCATATGCGACAATAAATAATGTAAGTTAACACAAATACTTTCATATAATATATAAACAAGTTATTAATAGTAGACGTTTAACTTTGTTTGAGTTTTTATATTGTTAGGAGGCCAACATTCCATTACAAAGACTGACACCCACGGAGGAAGAGCTTGCCACTGATTGGTGGCAAGCTAGTCAGAGTTTTTTTGATGGCACGGATGATGAGCAGCATCCACTTCCTCCAATTCGAGAGCCATCACCTCACCCAGAGCCATCACCCGATCGCCCGACTATACACCTCTAGAACGAGAGCCATCACCTATCCCGTCACATCATCGAGCCTCTTCTCCACCATCACCTCATGATAGGTGACCGGTAAAGAGGCCACGACATTTATCTCCTTGTTCTCCACCTCCACGGGATGAGTTACGTGATGAGGTCAATGCCTTACGTGAGGAGATCGGTACTCTACGCGATAACGATGGTGCATGGCGTGGAGGTGTCAACTTTACGTGGTGAGGTTGCCGCTCTACGTGAGATGATAGTATCGTTGCAGAATGAGGTTCATACTCTACGCAACGAGGTAAGTTTAAGATTTTCCATATTTAACTTAATGATAAATTTACTCGTAATTTCACTTAGATTAGCCATTTCACTTAGATTGCTTAGTAAATTTATTCGGTTGCTGCCAATTTGCTAAACTGTGTATTCTTTAACACTGTGATGTCTTTGGTTGAAAGTAAATTTGTTCGGTTGCTGCCATTCTGCTAAACTGTGTATTCTTTAACACTGTGAAATAGTATTTGTCTTTGTTTTGTCTTTTGGTTGAAAGTAAATTGTTCGGTTGCTGCCAATTCTGCTAACTGTGTATTCTTTAACACTGTGAATAGTATTTGTCTTTGTTTTGTCTTTTGGTTGAAAGTAAATTTTGTTCGGTTGCTGCCAATTCTGCTAAACTGTGTATTTTTAACACTGTGAATAGTATTTGTCTTTGTTTTGTCTATTGGTTGAAGTAATGCAATCCATTCAAGTTTCAATTTGCGAAGAAGAAATAGTTTACTTTCGCAACAAGAAACTTAAAATCGCAACGAGAGAATCGCAACGCGAAATGAAAATCGCAACGACAGAATCGCAACGCGAAACCAAAATCGCAACGACAAAATCGCAACGCGAAACCAAAATCGCATTGCGATTTTCATTTTGCGTTGCGGCGAAACAAAATCGCATTGCGATTTTCATTTTGCGTTGCGATTTCTGTCGTTGCGATTTTCATTTCGCGTTGCGATTTTGGTTTCGCGTTGCGATTTTGGTTTCTCGTTGCGATTCTCATTCGCGTTGCGATTTTAAGTTCGTGTTGCGAAAGTAAACTATTTCTTCTTCTGCAAATTGAAACTTGAATGGATTGCACTTCAACCAATAGACAAAACAAAGACAAATACTAACTTCAGGGTATTAGTTTGAAACATTATCTGATGCATTTAGAATAATGACTTGGGTGAATACAATGCAAGTTTGAAACATATTTGTCTTTGTTTTCACTGTTTAAATATGTCTGTTTATTTAACTGATTTTGTATTTAATTATTTAGCGGCCCAATAGAGTGGATGCTTTACGTCGGGTATGCTGCACGACGGAGTTCACGCATCAGACAGCGTGCACGTGCTATTAAGTCTCCGTACACCCCAATAGTGCGAAGACACCGAAGAAGAAGCCCGATCGCCTGTCATCCTCAAGAGTCCACTATCGTTGAAAGAGGCCCCCCTATCATTCCTCGAGAGTCCCACCGTTCAAGAGGCCACTGTCATCATTGAAGAGGTCCCTCCCACCATTCAAGAGCCCGATTCACATGGCGTCATATGT